GGAGTCACAGTTTATGTGCCCATCGACGAGTAGGTGTTCCTGGGGGATGGCAATCAACTTGGATTGGGTAACACAATGGGAGGTGTGGGCTACATTAAAATGAAGGTCTTGGGATATGTGACTTACATCACTCAAATTTTGGCCAAAGACACATCAAGTTCCATATCACCTGTCTTGATAATAGGGAGAATCAATATTTCTCAGACCCTTCTGAGCAATGAGCAGAAATGCACCCATTAGCCCAAACTTAGAATTTTTTTTTTTTATTGTCTGATTAGATTTTGGCCTGGGTAAATCTCTAAGAGTGATTTCCTTCACTGGTTGATTTCTGGATGAGGAAGTAGAAAAGGGGAAAAACCTTGGTCCTAATAGAATAATTAGTTATTAAATATAAAAGAGAAATATTCATTTTCTCACAACATGGAGCTTCAGTTTCTATTGGGTTTGGGGGCAAAGACCACTGAGGAAAGGGGCATCCTTGCTCAGAATGCAGTGGGTGGAAGACCCTCTGTAGGGATCACAGTTATGGTTCTACTCAGGGTGAGTACATTGTTTGAAGGACTATTTTTATAAGTTCGTTGGAGTCAGTTTTGGCAAATTTTAATGCCTGCAATTGTGGGAAGGGCCAAATGGAAACTTCTGGAGTTACCTGAACCATATTCTCCTTCTAATATTAAGCAATGTTTGGTCCTCGGGGGAAGGGATAAAAGACATTTGTTCCCTAATAATGGAGAGGAAGGAGGCTGGAGTATTTCCCTTAGCAAACTTCCCTTATAATAATTGTGTGCCCAATGAAGAAGAAGAATGGTATCAGGTGGTTGACTCCTAAGAACTTCTAATACCCATTCCTAAAATACACACACTCTTAGTAGTCACCATAACTATTACCCAGACAGAAGGTCTTCCACCTACCTCTCCTAAGCAAGGACATCCCTTTCCTTGATGGTCTTATTCTTAAAAAAAAAAAACAAAGGCCCTGATGGAAACTGAGGTACACCCACAGATCCATCTCCCATATCATCTTTAGGTTCCTGGAATTGTTCCTTTCCCCATCTTTAGTAGCTGAAATTGTTGAAAAAGTAAGGGTTGCCAGGTCCCACATCCACAATATTTGTTTCTCTTATGAAAATGACCCCTTGATTGTATGGCTATGCCTGATAAAGCTAATGTAGGGGGCACAGCTATTCCCAGCACTTTGGGGCATATCTGCCTATTAGTGGCAACTAGTCAGTAGTTAGCATTTGTGGTATCAAGGTCCCTTTCTCTACAGTGATTACTCTCCTCAGTGATGGCTGCAGGATTTGAGGGGTGGTGGTGATAGGGAACAGAAGGGGAAGAGAATAAACATTTACACTTAGTATGCACAAACTATGCAACGTGCTTTACAAATATCTCATTTGATCCTCACAACCCAGTGAGGTAGGTGCTATTATTATCCCCATTTTACAGGTAACAGAGGTAAATAGAGGTTGTGACTTGTCCTAGGTCACACAACTAGTATCCGACATCACATTTGAACTCATGTCTTCCTAACGCCAGGCCCAGCACTCTGTCCACTGTGCCATCAGCTGCCTCTGTCAAAGTGTTGTTTTTGAGGGTAGTTTAACTTTCCTGGCATGTCATCTCGTTTCTCTTCCAAGGTTGCCTTACTGCTTAGACAATGCTGGCTTGCCTGCCCAATAGTAGGGGGTGATATGCTCAGACTTGGACTTTAGGAATCATTCTGACAGATGTGCGTGAGGCAGATAGAAGCAGGAAGTGCCTTGAGACAGAGAGGACCATTAGGAATTTTTTGCAATAGTCCTGGTAAGATGTGATGAAGGGGTAGTTTTGTGAGTGAAGAGAAGGGGACAAATGTGAGAGCTGTTGCAGAGATGGAAATAACACTTAGCAATTGCTTGGATCTATAGATATGCATGTATATAATCCTCATTCACCGAGGATCAGGAAAGATTAAACACAAAGAAACGGAGATGGCTATGGGCTCACAGTCATCCTGTTCAGACGTGAGACTGAGTTTCATCTCTCCCACAATGAACTGTATGGACCAAGTCTATGTAGTCCTTCCTCCTTGCGTCCACAAAAGAAAGGAGAACAAAGAAGGGGAAGGTTTCCCCTTTTTGTATACTCCCTCATTTCACACTCAACCCCCGAGTCATCAGTTATTCTGGCTCCGTAGTCAATTAAAAGACTTTTAATCATCACACAGCATAAGCTGTTTGGTTACATGTCTGGATTTCAGCCTCCCATTCATACCTTTAAAATAATCTGCCTACAACATAGTTGTTCTCTTTCTGGCATTCGAGTCTGGGGTAAAGGACTGATTTGTTTCTCAACTTTGCCCCCTCCTTTATTGTGTAAGCTCCCTTTCTGAACTGGTATAGGCCACTCAGGGTAATTTTAACCTAAAAAAGTTTTGATTGCCCACAGCAATAGCTCAGCAGGTGCCATTGGAAAAAATCCATCTTTCCCCTTATGCCTGACTTTGCCCTCCAGATCACCTTGTGGCTGTGGCAAATGCCCCTCAGAGTATAGGTCCTGCACTCCAGGAGGATGACCAAAGCACTAAGAGCTACACCCCAGCACAGTTGCAGGCATGGATAGATTTTGATCTGCATTTGGGATCTCATTACATTATCTTTCTTCTCATCTTATCCCTCTTTGGAACTTTCCTGTGACTATTGAAAGCACCACCATCCTTTCTGTCTGAGGTTTACAACCTCAGAGTTATCTTCTACTTCTCACTCATGTTGCATTGTGTATAAATCAACCAAAAAAATCTACAAAAAAAGAAATTCACCTGCTTATCTAGCTACAAGGATCAAATTAGCTGAATAATTAATTATTAGCAATCACTATTTGTAAGTCTACCTTATCCTCCAGGATATGCATGGTTCTCCCCCCTGAAAAATGAAGTATATTCCATTCTATTACTCTCACTAAAATATTATTGCTAATACTTTGTTATTGATCATATCATTAAATTATATATTATGTGCTTATATATAAGCATATCCACAGGATAGGCAAGCCAGCCTAGCTGAACAGCAAGGCACCTTAAGGGAAAGACAAGAGGTAGCAAGTACGAGACAAGTCAAACCACCACAAGCACCACCTTGACCATTTCCAGAAAGACTATGATGAAAGTATCCTAGAACCTTGAACCCCAAAGCCTTAGGAAAAAGTGTCCCCTAAGCCACCAGACATGCTTCCAGTCCAGCCCCTGCAGCAGCCATTGAGGGGGAGAAGCAATAAACAGAAATAACTACTAATCAACGGCAACCAACAGAATGATTACTCCCCAGAAGGGAGTAACAATATCCCCCTCCCCAACTTATGCTTCCAACAGAGACCTCACAGCCATCTGCTGGGGAAGTGGCTACTGTGGAGAAGGAGTCAAGCCATCCCCACCAACTGCCAATCAGCTGCCATCCACAGCACAGGCAAGCCAGCCTGTTGAAATGAGCAAGGCACCCTGAGGGAGGACCAGGAGGTAGCATATGCCAGACAAGTAAAGTCCTCGGGCTCTGATGGAAATAGCCCAGGATCCCAAACCCAAGAACCTTTAAAATAGCCAAGCTTCCAGCTCATAGTCCTCAACCATCACACTGGGAGGCAATCCCTGTGGACGCAGGGCAGCACCTGCTCCTCCAATGCTACAGCCGTATCTTTTGTAGATCCCCCAAAAAATCAAGTTTTTGTCACCATCAATCGGTGGAAATGACATTAAAGAAGAGGTATTACCATCTGTTGTGCCAGCTGCAACTCTAGGGACTTTTCCGTCTGACTTGCCCCTGCAACCTTCCACGTGTTACCTCTCTCACTAGAATAGGAACTCCTTGAAAGTACTGTTTTACTTGGCTACTTGCATCCTGAGTACTCAGCACAATGCTTTGCACATAGTAAATGCTTAATAAATGTTTTATTCGTTCATTCATATGATAAAACAGTAACACTGTAAAACAGGAATATAATAACTAAGGATAAAGATGAAATTAAATGTTAAAGTTTTATTAATAACCCACTTTTTTGCCTTCACTATATTGTGTAAAGGTCACTTGAGCAGTATTTTAAAGTTATTTTAGTAATAAAGATTTAAAACATTTTATGTCATCTTATTCTTTCTTAATGTCTATTTTTGCGATTTACAATGCATTAGTACACGTACATAAATTGTAAATAAATCTGGGGATATGGGCTCACAATGGTTTTGCTGATAGGGTGAATGATTTAAAATTTTCAATAGATATCAAATTATGGGGTCTCCTCATCAACCTATTTTTAAAAAGGCACCCTTCATAATTTGATAAAATTCTATCACATTTAATTAAACTCTGTTGAGAACTAAAACAGGTTCGGGCGTCTGAGGAGCCAGCAAGAACAGACTGAAAATTTTTATCAGCTTTACTTAAAAACCCCACGTGTTTAATTAATTGTAAGACTGGCGAGGGTTGTGGGGGTGGAATCCTTACCGAGTCCACGGGAGACCAAAAGTTGGGGGAGGGGTGGACGGTAATGGAAAGCACCTGCCTAAAAATCAAGAAATGGGGTTATGGTCTGGCTTGGCGGCTTTGAGCAACTCGCTTCCCTTCTCTGACCCTCAGCTTTCCCACTTGTAAACGGACGGTTCGCGATAAGCACAACGCTAACATCCCTCACAGCTTACATAACTGCGGGGAACGAAAAGGAGCGACAAGGACGCTCTCCGTGACGTCATCTCGTACAGTCTCGCGAGCAGCACTGCGTGCTGGGCCCGCCCCCGGCCCAGGTCAGCGCCCTCCCTCCTTCCATACTCGGCTTCATAGCTGCGGCTGCGCACGCACACTCCTGGCTGCCTGGGCGCGCGCTATGAAAGCTCCAAGCCGCGCCTCACTACCCCTCCCTGGATTTGGCATCCTTCAAGGTAACCAGCGGCCGGGTCCTCCCCATTCGTTGTGCCGGACTTCAGTCAGTCTCGGGTCAGGGGCGGGGCTACGTCCCAGCCGTGTCCAATGGGGCCGCGGGGTCAGAGGTGAGGGGTTGAAGGGGTGAAGATTGGAAAGTGCCGGCTCTGCCGCGCCTGGCGGTCGTCATGGAGGCAGTCACTGCTGAGGAGCTGCCTGAAGAGGAGGAAGAAAAACAAGATCAGTTGTTGAAGCGGCATCGGAAGGAGAAGAAGGAGCTGCAGGGTGAGCTGGGAATCCAGGGGGGCCTCTCAGCCGCCGCTATCTTCCCTCACCGCCTCCCCTCCCTCCCTGGGACGGGGTGCGGGGCTGAGCTACCCCGGAGGAAACCTCCAGGCCTGGTCGGAGCAGCTGTCTTTCCCTCTCCCTCTTCTCCCCTTACCCCCTCCCCAAAATAAAAACCGGATCCTGAGGACCTGCCTTTAGCTACTAGCCACAGTATGGTAGGCTTGGGATCTGGTCCAGCCCGCTCATTTTGCGTAGGTGGAAACTGAGACCGGGAATGATTTGCCGAGGTTATGTAGATTCTGGGGCACCAAAGCGGTTGTCCTTAGTCCAAAGCGATTCTGTCACGTGTCTTTGGTTTCTTCTTTTTAGTCCGGCGGGTTTCTGTACTTGCCCATTCTGGTTCGCTGGTTAGTGAATTCTGTGTTTTTCTCACCAACCACCTTTCTTTATTCTCCCCTCAATACTGCTTAACTGTCACATTTGCAGAAGAGTTAAGACCGAAGGAAAGATAGAAGTCCAGTATTCCAGTCCCCTACCCCCATCATTTTATACTTAAGGGATGGCCCACAGAGGTAAAAACGCTTTGCAGCAAGAACTTGTATCTCCTAAGATCCGCTGAGTGTGCTTGCTTCTACAAGCTTGTCCCATTCTCCTTTTTTACTTTTCTCTTCTTGGGACTCTAATCAACCGTTATTGGTGTCTCTTCAGCCAAAATTCAAAGTATGAAAAATGTTGTTCCCAAGAACGACAAAAAGAGGAGGAAGCAATTGATTGAGGATGTTGCTAAATTGGAAGGAGAAATGGAACAGAGACACAAAGAAGAACTGGAGCATTTGAAGCTGACTTCACATGCGGAGAATGAGGTGTGTGACGGTATATCCCATCTGGCTTTGTTTATAGCTTGGTCTTACCATTTAATGCTTTTGTAGGATGTGTGTTGCAGAAAGGCACAGGAATGGCAAAAACACCAGGAAACCAATACATGGATTACAATTTCATGGTTCATCAAAAACAGCCCTGCACGTGTAAAACACTATTCTAGACACTGAGAACATGGTTCCTGTCTTCAAGGAACTTAAAATCTAATGATAAGCTAACTTTAATATAGCACTTTAAGGTTTGCAAGGTATTTTCATATGTTACATTGTGAGGCTAATAACAATCCTGTGAGGTAGGTACTTCTAGTATACACATTTTACAGATGAAGCTGAGAAAAGTTAAATTATTTTTCCGGGATCACAATACTAGTAAGCTCTCTGATGCAGGATTCAAACTAAACTCTTCCTGACTTCAAGGCTGACTCTAATTGACGTTTGAATACCAACAGTTCTATAGTGGCACCATACTTTCTTCTTTGTGGTATGGAAGTTTAAGCAAAGAAAAGACTTCTTTTTTTTTTTCAAGAAATTTGGCTCTTAACATGGATACAATAATGATTGTAAAAAGTAGATCAACAGAAGGATTTTAAATAGTAAGTTACTGTTGTCAACATCCCTATCTGTCAACCTCTATTTCTAATACAATCTAGCATCAAAAGTGTTTAAAGAAAAAACCCCACCATAACTTTAAAATGTTGTACATTTTTAAACTGTCTTCAGTTTTCATTCTTAACAGTTCTTCTATCCATGCTACTGTTGCAATACTGAATTATTCATTCAACAGTTGAATATCTACTCTGTGCAAGGCATTTTGGTCTTTATTGAAGGTGATACAAAGAAGAATAAGACATAATTCCTGCCATTACAGAATCTGAAGAATGAGAGGTCATTCCTCCCTTCATGTGTTTTACAATCTAGGAGGAAAGATGAGACATTCAGATAACTTTAATATAAGGTTATTATGTTAAAGAACAGTAAGAGAGGTTAAAAAGTATTATTTTAACTCAGGAGGAAGAGAGTCTTGGTGTAGTCCTCTTGGTATGACAGCATTACTCTCCAGGGGGCCTTGGGACTTAATAGAGTGTTATATTGACAACCTTCATTTTTTGGGTACTGCTTTTATCATCAGCTGATCTAGTCATCAAATTTTCCAGTTAATTTCAACAGGTCAGGTATGGATGTTAAAATGTATATTTCTGAAACTATACATGAATATTTGACATTAACCTGGCTTTTAGAAGGGAGTCAAATTGCTCTGGTAAGTTTTAGCTATGGTGTTTTATTCTGTGGCTTAAACCTAATTCTTTCTGTTTCTGGGTAGCTCTTTCCTACCAACTGCTCCCTTGTCTCTTTTCTTTCACCTCTGTAGTCCAGTCTGTATTCTTCTGCCATCTTAATTTTCCTAATGTGAATTTTTGGTGATTATCTGTTTCCCCTGGCTGGTGGTTTCTTCTTGCTTACAGAATCATATGTAAACACTTTATTATGCCATTAAAGGATCTTCACTACCATCCTTCCTTTCCAGCATTCTCACTACTCACCCTCTTACATATTGTATTCCAGCCAAACTAAAATACTGATAGTTCCCTGAATTTATTCTGGACTGCTTATGTTTTTGTTTTTGCTGACATGCCTTCTCACATCTCCCTCCCCGTTGAGATCCTTTCAGACCTTTTAATGCTGAGTTGATCTATTATTCTTGAAACATCCCTTATTTTTTTCCCTGCTGGAAACTATGTCTCACTTGGCTGGCCCATGCATTTACAACTCTATATTTGTCTCTGATTTTCTACATCTATAAAATTGTAATCTTGAGCATATAGACTGCATTTTATTTGTTTGAGTATCCCCAGCATCAAGCAAAAGTGCCATGAGGGTTAATAGATCTATAATATTAAGGAGTGACAATAACAAAAACGAGAGTTTACTTTTGCTAGGCTATAGTCTTTTACTCATTTAAATAATTTATATAGCTCCTGCTATGTGGAGGGCACTGGGCCAGGCATAATGGGGCATACAAAGACATGGACTTATCCTTGTCTTCATAGAAGTTCCTCTGTAATAGGGAAGGTAAGACTTGTACAAATATCTAGCCTTTCATTTATATCCTTTTTCTAAAGTTGTGATGCTTGTGATTTTGTCCAAGATTATAAGTTAAAAAAAAAAGCTGCTGGACAGGTTTGCTTTGTTGTTCTTCCTTGACTGCTTGTGTCTTATCAGCAATTTATAGGTAAAGGAAGGTAAATTGGGAAAGCTTAGAAAGCACATTTAGAAATAGACCCTTCTGTTTTCTCCTTTTCCCTCTAAGTGTCTTCCTTTTGAAGATGGTCGTAACAGGTTCAAATGATGCACTTAAGTCAAATTACAGTTGTGTGTTGGAATTCAAACCTTTTAAAAGGAAAAGAGGTCCATGGGTAGTCTTTGGTAATAGAAGTAGTCTTGGTTTTCTAGACCCCCTAAACTCCAAGTATTTTCTTGGAGGGGAGATCAGCAAACTGATGCTCACAAGCTAAGAATGGTTTTTATATTTTTGAATATAATAAGACTATTTAAAAATTTAAAAAAATACTCTAAGCTTTAGTTTTTTACATATAAAAAACTTCATTTAAAAATATTACCATAAAAAATATGGCCACAGGCAGGAGTTGACCCACAAGCCATAGTTTGCAGACCCTCTGCTTTGTAACAATTAAATAATGGCACTTCAGATAATTTCAGCAGAACTTTCTCTGATGAGTTTTCATGCATCTCATATAGCAAGCAAGAGTTGTTTTTTTGTTGTTTTTGTTTTTCTGCTTTTTGGTGAGGCATTTGGGGTGAAATGACTTACCCAGAGTCACGAAGCCAATAAGTGTCAAGTGTCTGAGGCCTGATTTGAATTCAGGTCCTTCAGACTCCAAGACTGGAGCTCTATCCACCACGCCACCTAGCTGCCCCCAGAAGCAAGAGTTTTTAAGCAAGGATTTCTGCTAGTAAGCAAAGAAGACTAAGACTATGATTTGCCACAACTTGGTTGCACTGTTTTGAAGAAATACTGTAATCTTAGTGTGATAAAATTGGGGCATTTTTTTGGAAAAGGGTAAATGTTAGATTTCTAGATATATTACATTAGGTAAACTGGATGTTAGTATTAAATATATAATATGGTTATCAATAAAAATGCTCTAGCTTTGTGTGTCTTTTCATAGATTATAAAAGCTAGATGAACTGAGGCCCTGACTGCCACAGTTTTATAATTTTTAGATTAACAAACTGATATAATTTAACTGTTTGGAATCCAGAAATAAAGCTCCTAGGAGTTCTTGTGCAGATGAGATGTAAAAATAAAGTAACACCATCATAGTATTTGGTGCTTTTTCTCAAATTGAAGCTGTGATTAACTAGCTTCTCTTTTTTTAAAAATGCATAAAAACAGTTTTAGAGTATTATTTAATCTGTTAATAATTTTCCATAAACTATGAATGCTTTTGTTTTTCATTAGATAGACTCTGTTGTTAACATTGCAAGTTTGGATATTGAGAATCAGCAGCCTCGGATATCAAAAGCACAGAAGAGGCGGGTATGAATCAAATTTATCAAGTATTTATTAAATGTCTGCTGTGTTCAACAAAGAAATATTGTTTATGTCCTTAAAGAACTTACAATTTGATTGCAGATTCAAGTGTTTTCTCTCTGCAAGGGAATAACTAGGGAATGCTTCAAGGCAGTATACAAATGGTAGATTGTGTGGTGCAAACTCTTAAGTGCTTTAGGAACTCAGATATGAGATATATCATTGTGGGGGTGCAGTTGGGTTTTTGTATTAAAAAGCATAGTAAATACTCAGGGAAGATAGCAGGGACAGAAACAGAAGTATGCATGAGCATGATATATTTTGGGTACAGCAAGATACCTGGAAAAGTAGTGAAAAGATAGGGTTGGATAGCTAAGAGGGAGTGTTTAGACTTATTCCAGTCTTGCTTTTTGTACTATATTCAGCATAGAGTGGTCTCTTCATGAAGAACAACATTAAAAGTGCCCTATCGTTGAGGACTGTTTGTCACAAACAGCTAAAATTTACCCATGTAGGCTTAAAATTTTGTTTCTGCAAGAAATCTTATGACTAGGAGATTTCTTCCAGTAGCATTCAGAGGATCCATCTTTAGAGGTGAAGGTAAGAGAGTTGAACTTTTGACAAATATGTTAATAATACCTTATGTTTATATTCTGATTTTAAAGTTTTCAAAGTACTTTCTCATATATTTAGTTCATTTGAGCTTTTTACCTCTTTTTTTTTTTTTGAGAAGTTGATATCTTTTTTACAGATGAGGAAGCTGATACTAATGGTAAATTATATATATCTTATAATTGATAGAGCTAGAATTATCTAGGTCTTCTGACTTCAAAGTCTGATTCTTTACGTACAAATATGTTTAATTCAGTGCTTAGGAGAATTCCTATTTCCCTCTTACACCTTTTTTATTTCAAAAGAGACCATTTATATTAGGGAAATTCCACTGCTATTCAGTTAATTGACTTGGAAGTTGTGCTGTTCTATTCCTGTTTTTCTTCATGTGGGTATCTTGATTGAGAGGCATTATTATTCCTTACTGCATCCCTTCCCCAAATTTTAAAACCTTTCATTAGAAGAGCTAACAAATGGTTAAATTTGTAGAATTTAATTTTATTTCACATTCTTTGCAAAACTTTGGTTCAGGCCAAACAATACAAGGTTCTTTTAAATTTTGAGTATTAGATATACAAGAAGATACAAATGCTTCTTTGGTTGGATATATCAGTAGGCAAGAGGAATGTCTTGCACCATGAAGATCTTAGCATTTTATGGTCTTGTGATATGAAGCAGACAGTCAGGAGGCATAGATTAGCCTAAGGCTTAGATCTGACACTATTGTACTCATTGTAGATTGGGAACAGGTCATGAGACCATCAGTACTTTGAAATCTGTAAGTAAAAAGCAGTTTGATCACTGACAGGCTTAACATAGATTTTTTTAAAAGGATTTGAGTTGGACTAGATGGTCTGTAAAAGTTCTTTTCAACCATAAAATTCTGTAACTTGAGGAGAGGTTCAGATTTTTTGTACTGTTATAATAAATAATGAGAGACTTATACATTCCTCATTATATATAATCAGTCCCTAAATAATTGAGAGTTGGTCTTACTCCCGCCCCCTCCCCCCACTATGCCTTAGGAGAAGAAAGCTGCGTTGGAGAAGGAAAGAGAAGAAAGGATAGCAGAAGCTGAAATTGAAAACTTATCTGGAGCCAGACATCTAGAAAATCAGAAACTTGCACGAATTTTAGCTGCTAGACATTTAGAGATTAAACAGATTCCATCAGATGGCCACTGTATGTATCGAGCTGTTGAAGACCAGCTGAAGGAACAGGAGTGCCCCCTGACTGTAGCTACTTTAAGAAGTCAAACTGCTGAATATATGCAAAACCATGTAGAAGACTTCCTGCCATTCTTAACGAATCCCAATACGGGAGATACATATACTCCAGGTAAACATTTTAGTATAATTTGCGTTCTCTATTGTGCTTTCTCTTTAAAATAAATATTGTGTGAAAGGATTATATATTCTATCCCCTACTCAAATTTATCCCTGTAGGAAAAATCATTATAACCTAAATACTATAATGTCTCAATATTTATTTGTTATGTATAGCACATAATTATAGATGTTAGTAGGTATAGCACTATCAAAATAATTTTTTCATGTGGTTAGCTGTTAAGAAGAAAAAGTACATTCCTCATTTTGTGTGGGGATGAAATAGGAATAGAATTAATCATTATCTGAAAGGCTTATAGACTGCTACCTTTGTACCAGGATTCGTATCTGTATGCTGGTGAGGACCTAAAACACAAGAATACATTCTCTTCCTAAAAGCTGCTGGAAGGAATCCTTGCTGATGATTGTATCTTCAGTTTTTGATGCATGTGGAAAAAAGGCAAATCCTACATCTCTTTCCCCCAAATGGCTTTGTTTATTTGACCCATGTGTTTAAGGAGCACAGATTTAATTTTAGTCTAAGTAAAAAATGATTAGGAAAATAAATCTACAGATTAATCAACATTCTAAAGCCAGACATCAGTGCTTTAATATTTTTGCATTACCATTTGTATCCATTTTTGTGGAAAATCAAGAATTAAATGTATACGTAAGGTCAAAACTTCAAGGGTTTTCATGCTTCTTAACACATTCCTAGTATGTTTGTATCCTAACTTGGATAAAGATAAGTTAGTCATTTGTTCGTAAAGTTTTGTTAATGGAGCATGCCACCTCAAACTATTTCATTTCAACAAACATTAAGAACCTGCTGTGTTCAAGACACTATTTTAAGTTCTGGAGATAAAAAGAAAAATTAAACAATTCCTTTCCTGATTTGACTTGAGGGAAACAAAATATAGATAGGTAAGTGATACAAAGTATATGCAAAATTATACAAAGTAATTTTAAATAGGAGTGGATAGTTGACACAGATCTGAAGTCGGGAAGACCCATCTTCCTGAGTTCAAATGTGACCTCAGACACTTACTACCTGTGTGTCAACCCTGTTCATGTCAGTTTCCTCATCTGTAAAACGAACTGGAGAAAGAAATGCAAACCATTCCAGTGTCTTTGCTAAGAACGTCTCAAATAGGGTTATGAAGAGTCAGACAAGACTGAAAAATGATTAAATACACAATTTTAAAGAGGAATATAGTACTATTTACTGGGGGATCAGGAAAAGCCTTGTGTTGGAGGTGACATGTGAGCTGTTCTTTGAAGGCAGCTATGGATTGATTCTAAGAGGTGGAGGTGAGGAGAGAGTTACCAGAAGCTGATATGGGAGGGCCTTGCTACAAAGCTATGGAGCAGGATCTGGACTCTTGTGTGTAGGGAATAGCTAGCAAGCTAGTTTGAATAGAAAGGGCACAAAGGGGAATAATATTAAATAAGAATAGAACTATTGTGGGGAGTTATATTGTGGAGGGTTTTAAATGATATTTTTATCCTGGAGCCAATGAGTCACTGGTTTTGAGTATCCTTGAGGAAAATTACTTTGGCAGTAATGTAAGGAGTGGCTGGAAGATAGAGATTGGTGGTTGGAAGAAGTATTAGGAGGATGTTATAATAGTCCTGGAGAAAGGTGCTAGGACAGTGACCATGAGAGTAGAGAGAAGAGGACATATAGCATGAAGAGCTAAGCTTAATAGGAGGTAGGAGGTATAATGGAGACAAGGGAGATATCAAAATAGTTTTGAAGAGGGAGAGAATGCTAAGGATTCAGGATTAAAGAAGACCTTGTAGAAGATATGGTACTCCTGCTGAACTTTGAAAGGATGAGACAGATTCTGAAAGGATGTTGTTTGTCCTTCCTTCTTTCTCAAAAGGGACCAATGACATCACAAGAGTGAGTCATCAGATCCCGTGGCTAGACAAAAGTCAAGAGGACTGATGATGGCGCAGGATGCAGTGGGTAACCTTGACCTTTTTAGAATAAAATCTTTCCCAGGTCTCAGTTTGTCTGAGGCAAGGCTCATTCGGTGACTTAAGAACTAGGTTAGAATTGAGACAAAAAATGGTCTAATTTATTATCACAAAAATATCAATCTGGGAGGGTTAGACTCTCATAGTTTCTAGCCAGAACAGAAAACAATTGCTATTTACACTCATTCTAAGTCATCAAAATCTAAACAATGAGCCACAGAAGCTTGAGCTGGAGGCTATTTTTGGCCATTCAATGAAGCCAAAGTTATTTGGGTTTAAAGGCTATTCCAGTAGCTCCATTTGAAACACACAATGGGCTTTTTAGAAACCTGTTTTTTTCAGAGCTGTATCATAAATAAAAATTGCACAGGCCAAAAATGTAAATTGTCCCAGCTTTTTGGGGGAAAAAAGAATAAAATTAAAATTAGCAAAAAATCTAGCCCCTAAACCTCCAAATTTCTTACAAAATATAAGCAACCAAAAATTATATTCCTGTGGACAGAGCACCCACATGTAATGATATGGTGTCCCAAGTGATGAAACGGACCATGTGTGGTGAAGGAAGAAGAAATAATAGGATTCCCTAACTTCTGCTCCAGTTGGCAAGTTGGTTCCCCAGAGAGCAGCTAATACTACTCTCAGGGAGGGAGTAGGGCATTCTAGACATGCGGAATGGTTTATGTGAATACATGGATGTGGGAGATGACATTGAAAGAGCTTATAGTATTTTGCTTGGAACACATGTGAAGGGAAGTAATGTGAAATGAGGAAAAAGAAGGAAACGAGGTCAAGTAATGAAGGATAAATACAGAATGGTGGCACAGAACCTTTAGGAATAGCATCAGTAGTGCTGAAAGTTAGAATGTGCTACTGAGGAAATCTAAGGATAACAAAAGAGATTTTTTAGCTATATTGGGGGAAAGAGGAACATTGAAGAGAGGTTAGGACTACTGCTTGGGGGTGGATGTAGTGATGATAAAAGAAGACAGAAGATGGGGCTACTTAACTCTATGTCTTTCTTTCCATGGAGACTAATCTTTGGACTAAAAAGACAAAACAAAATTGATGATTACTGAATTGGTGCTCAAAATAAATGAGATATTAAGAGAGCACCTAACTGCCTTAAATGGATTCATGTTACTTGCCCCAGACAAATTACATCCTCAGGTACTGAAAGAACTGGCAGATGTAATTGTTGATCCACTGATTGTGGAGAATAAAAAGTTACTGCAGAACTGGAAAAAGACATTATTCTGATTTTCAGAAAGAGTAGTCTGAAAACTGTAGGCCAGTGAACTTTACTCTGATTCCTGGCCAAAATAAAAGGAGATGGTTAGTGAATATCTAAAAATGTAAGTGGTCATCACAAAGAGCCAGACTGGCTATATCAAAACAGGTTATAAATAGTCATTAGACTGAGCTACTTGAGAGCTGGGTACTGTCTTTTTCCTTTCTTTATATCCCCAGTGTTTGGCACAGCTTTTGGCCTATTGGAGGCCCTTAAGAAATGCTAATACCTAGATTTTATCGAAGTATTTGATAACAGTATTAGTAGATCTAGTATTATGGCAAAGCTTTGGGCTAGGTGATCATACAGTTAGGTGGAATCAGAACAGATTGAATGGTTGGATCCAAAGTAGTTAGCAATGGTCACGTTGGAAGTAGGTGGCCCCTAAAATACTGAACATTGTTATTGATGTCTTCACAAATGGCATACTTTTCATATTTGTATATGTGACACAAAGCTATGAGGGATAGCTAACACATTAGATAACCATTTTGAAAGGTTAGAACATTAAGTTCAGTATAATAAGGTAATATTTAATATTTTGTTGTATGTAAAATCTTAAAAATATAAAATTAATTTTTTTAAATCTCTATAAGATGGAGGAGCTAGAGCTAGATAGCATTTCCTTTGAAAAAAGAAGGTCCATGGAGAAACCATGGAGGTTTTAAGTGGAGTGCAAGCCAAAATAAGTCAATAGGTACAATGTGGCAGTCCAAAAAAACAAAACAAAACAAATTTATTGTAGTGCTAGGCTGAATTGAGGAAAGATAGAGTGTCCAAAATGAGGGAAGTATTGTAATAAGCAGTCTCGCTGTTCTTTGACCCAATCAGACAACATCTCATCCTTACTTTCAATCCAGACAGCTTTTGCTGTTTCATGATTACTAAAAAGAGGCATTGAGGCATGATTATTAATGCTGAATCAACTAGAGGAGATAGGTCGTAATGTATCACCTTGAAGTTTTTTTGAAAAATTAATGAAACTTCTGTTGCAGAGTAAATAGAACCACAAGAATTTGCCCATTCTAATCCCTTGTGAAACTATGCCAGAAAACTCTGATTTATTTTAAGATAACTGATAATTGAAAAGGATGGTTTAGTTGAATGCTTTTGTTAAATACCTAACAATTAGAGGTATGTCCTGCTGTATTAGAGTAAAATATCAGTTATCTGTCACTTTAGCAATTAGCATACTAAAAGAATCATTGTGCTGGTGCAGAGAAAAACCTAAAAGTTCCAGGTAGAAATCATGAAGGGAAATTATTCAGTAGTAGATATGAACAGTTTTCAGAGAGATTTGCAAAAGTATATGCAGTCATATGAAAGACTTCTTCAAATCATTCATGAGTAAAATGCCAATTAAAACAATTTAGAGGGTTCTCTTCACTCTCAGCAAATTGTTACGGTTGCCAAAAAATGAAAATAGTCATTGTTGGAAGGGCTGTATGAAGGTAAATACACTCAGTAACATTACTAGAGGACTTGTGAATTGGTCCAGTCATTCTAGAAAACAAATTGGAGTTATATGAGAAAAATTACTCAGTTATCCATAACTGAATTTATATTTATGTATTCTAATGACACTAAACAATGTGTAATTGAAATGACTAGTCTTGGCCTCAAGAAGAGATAAAAAAATGCACCTTCTTTCAAAGGAAATGTGGGAGACTTTGTGTACAAAGTGTACAACACTGGCAGATACAGTTATTTTGGTTGTTAGTTTCATTTTCATTTAGCTCCTA